AGAGGGGATGACACGCAGCAAAGGGCCGCAGGTCTGATTCGATGCAGCAACTACATACATGGGTCACCCGCTCTACCAACTGAGCTAACCAGGCGCACGGTGCTTAAAGTTTTTAAGAAAGAAACAATACTTCAATCTGTACATGTATATGTGTAGCTAATGGGGTCATTAGCCTAGCTACAGATCAAGGTTTAGGATGGGTTAAAATCTGGGTTGTCAACTTGTCATGAACAAAATCACATGGTCTCTTGAACACCCCTGGATGTCATTGTATCTGGGGTTTAACTGAAACCTATTGCAGTCGTGGTTTAAGGGAAGGTCTGTAATACTCTGATCTTTACAGCTGAACCTGTTTGTCTGTTTGTTTTATGCAGTTATGGCACATGAGATGTTTCTATTTCTGTCTCTCCCTCAGAAACCATTCAATAATGAAAATGCAAAAAATGTGTTAGGAGGTACATATATATTATAAACATGTAAAATGCATGTTATACGCAATTGAATTGAACGTTATATAGAACAAAGCAGTGTTGGTAAATGAATAAGGACTACATCTATAAGCAGGTGTACACATAAACACACCGTAAAAGTCCATAATGTGGAAGGTAAAAACATCTGTTTAAGAAAGGCTCCAGCAGGAATTGTAGCTGCACACAGACTAATGAACACCCCTGACAGCCCACTGTGAGTGCACGAGGATAGAAAAGCTCCAGCTGCCCCCACTGTCACCCCCAGCCTTCCTACAAATCCATAGTGGTTCTGTCCATACTGGTTGATTACTGCCTCTGCTGCAGAAAGAGAGACCCCTACTGCTCCTGCCACCCCTATCAGAGCTCCTATAGTGGGACCTGGACCTAGCACAGGGAGAGCCAACTTTATGGCACCTAAAACATCAGTGGCATTGTAAAAGTGATTAGTGTGTAGGAACATGAGTTTACAAGTAATTTCACTACTATAGTCATAGGTGTCAAAAAACCTAAAATAATTAGCAATTGGATCCAATAAAGAATGTGACTCAAACCAGTCCTTTGCAAGGAGTGGTAACAGACATACAACTACTTCAACTTTTTGACTTGGATTAACTTTATATCCTTGCCAAGCTTAATAATTGAAACATTTTTAGAAAAAACAAAAACATTTCCTGATAAAGATATACAATGACTGTACCAGTCAATCACTGTACACAAACAGAAAATGAAGGATGTGTTCGGCAATGCAGACAGACCTCTGATTACAACATTAAGATATAACAACCGTGTCTCCTGTTGGATTAAACACAGATTTTTAACAGTCCGCATGTTTTCAGCTGCACGTAGCTAAGAAAGAAAGTTGTGTAAAGGTAAGAACACGCTCCTTCTGTTAATGTGCATTAAGGTTGTTAAATGAAAATGAAAAAAAAAAAAAAGAAAAATAAAAAAAAAGGAAAGCGTGCCACATAATTCAAGCTGATGGATTATAGGCCCCCCTGCACCCCCTAAACCAGCCACAAGGCCCAATTTCACAATATGTATGAAAAGCTGTTCCGGCACATCAATGACCAGGCAATAACAAAATAAGCCTCTTGGACCCATTTGCCAAAACCCCAAAACAGGAAGTTGCCATTTTTTGGGCGATTCAAAATTAAAGTTGTGCTAATATTC